CCGTGCGAGGACAGGCTGAGAGAGTTGGGGGTGTGCAGCCTGGAGAAGAAAAGGCTCCGGGGAGACCTTCCAGCACCTCCCAGTGCTGAAAGGGGGCTCCAGGAGAGCTGGGGGGGCTCTGGATCAGGGGGTGCAGGGACAGGCCGAGGGGGAACGGTTTGAAGCTGCAAGAGGGGAGATGGAGATGAGATGTGAGGAAGAAATGTTTTCCTGTGCGGGGGGTGAGGCAGTGGCCCAGGGTGCCCAGAGAAGCTGTGGATGCCCCATCCCTGGAGGGGTTCAAGGCCAGGCTGGATGAGGCTTTGGGCAACCTGGGCTAGTGGGAGGTGTCCCTGCCCATGGCAGGGGGAGGCACTGGGTGGGCTTTAAGGTCCTTCCCAACCCAAACCGTTCTGGGATTCTATGATCTGGAGGCTACTGCTGCAGCAAAATAATCTGCAGGCCTGGACATTAAAATATAAAAGCATAAGCCAAGACATTCTTACTTCATTACCCAATGCCAAATTTTTACTTACAGCTACTTATATGAAGAGAAAAAAATCAAGAACACTTCTGGAGCAGGTAGCTTATCTCACAAGCTCCCTACGGCCATTTGGTAAGCAATTCCACCTCTCTGAGCCTTTCTTGGTACATTCAACCACAGGACTTAATAAAACCCTTTTTCCAAAGCAACCACCTGAAATTGCTGCTGGGAGGAAGGACAGGGAAGAAGAGCGCTGGCTACAAGGAAGTAAATTAGAGTACAGGGGCACGGACTACAGACCTGTCACCTTCAGCTCCACCACAGCCTCATCGTAATCTGAGTCACGGCGAACAAAGCAGGTGTAATTCCCTCTGTCAGACAGTTGGACACGGAAAATTTTCAAGTCCATGCTGCCCTTGGCGAGGCCATTCTTCAGCAGCTCCATGCGCCCTTGGTACTGAAGCATCTGCTCCCCGTACTGGTCCTGGCCTCCCTTGTAGCGATGCACAAAGGGCGAGAAGTGTTCCCGAAACCAGATCACCTCCATGTCCCATGCACTCTGCTCCGGGGAGAAGTGACAGGGCAACACCATGTCCTCGCCCATGGCCACGGCAATGGGGCCAGGGGGTCCCGTCACATCCAGTGGGGCTGGCAGAAATTCCCAGAGGAAGAAGAAATAACCGTGACTTTATTAATAAGCTGGCCACTCAACTCACAGAGAAAGTGGTTTCTGTTTGACGGAAAACAAAAGCAAATCAACTTTTTTTTTGGCAAGGTAACTGTCAAGTCAACTGTTGTGAGCCATCCCTTTGCCAAGGCTGCCCTGAAGAAGCTGCTTCAGGTCAGCAATCAAACAGAAAAAGAGCCCAGAATATTTTTAAAATATTTTTTGTTGGTTTTTTTTCACAGAATTAGTTCTGCAAAGGATCCAGCACCCCTGGAACAACCCAGTAAAGCCATGATATGCTGGGAACAGGGAAAGCAGGGAGGGAAATGGCAGCAAACTACAATCAACTGATTGGCATCATCTCATCTCCACCTGAGGTCAGCGAGGTTGTGCCAATGCCCCAGCTGACACGGCCAGAGGAACAAACCAGGACCCAGCGGGATGCTGGAGCTCTCAGATGTGCACAAGGCTTATGGCAAAGGGCCGGAGCCCCCTCTGTGCTCAGGGAGCAGCTGCACCGGCAGTGGGGAAGATATTCAGGCTGGAAGCAACGGCACAGGGATCAGCAAGAACCAGGGGGAACCCTACCTGACCGCAGCTTGTGAACTTGGAAAATGAAACCATAAATGACAAAAGCTGTCAGAGAGCAGTGGAGGTGGAAACCAGAGAGCATCCTCTTCACTGGAGCACAGCCTGGAGATGGGGAAGGAGAGGGAAAGGTCAAAAGGGAGGAGGAACAAGGGAGTAAAAAAAAGGGGGGGGGCAGAATTCACTTTTAAAGGAGTTTATTGCTGATTGCAGCCCCTTTTTATAATGTCTAGGAAAGAGCCTCAGAATGCCAAAGGTTGACATCGATTTTCCATCATCAGCTTGGTGCTTTACATACAAAGTACCCGACTGGTATAAAAAGCTGTAGGAATTTCCCGTGAGGAAACAAAGGACAAGCTACAAGGTTTTGAATTCCATGACAGAGTGGCAGCTGTTTTAACACAGAGCCCTTGCTTTTCTTATCCGCCCCTAAGAAAGAGACGGGAAGGTGCAGGGTGAGAAGGAGAAGCCCAGACCAAATGCATGTGGAGCTGGGGCCACACCGTCCTCCTCTGGGACAGACTGGGGATGGGGTTGGCATCGCATCCCCTGCCACTGCACCGAGGGCGGGAGGAGAGCTCAGACCAGCGAGGGCAGAATACCCAAACAGTAATCCAACACCCAGCCAAGATGGGACCTGGCCCAGCCCTGAGCCCCCTCGAACCCTCTTACCACTCGCTGACTTAGTCCCAGCTTTGTTAATGAGAGGTGAAAACCACGACCAGTCTGGGCAGACAGTGATTTCAACCCGCAGCCTTCCGAGAGCTGCTGCGTACCTGGGGCTGAGCTCTGTGACGGGCTCGGGGCTGGGGCAGGAGCCGCTCGGCCGTCACCTGGCACGTCCAGAGGGGTCACCTCGCTCCGAGCCGAGCATTTCCTTGTCTGGAAACGAAACAAAAATGTCACGCTGCATCCCAGCCTGCCATTTCCTCCTGCACTGCCTCTGCTCAAAAAGGAAAGTGCCTGAGTGACGTGGGGTTTTCAGCGATGCTTTTGCTCCGGAAATGCTCTTCGGCAACATCTCCCTGCACGTCCCCGCTGCGGTCACCCTCCAGAGCAGCATCGCAGCATCCCCACAGCTCCCCTGGGCTGGGGATGGATGGATCCGGCAGCAGTCTGCGTGTCCCCGCAGGCAGCAGTTGGAGAGAGAGAGGTGACGGAGCCGGATTCTCATCCAGAGGCAGTGCCAGGGTGGGAGCAAAGTCCAGCATGATCTTTAAAATTGCTTAAAAGCAATTCCCCCCCCCGTCCCTGGCCAGGAGGCGAGGCTGGGAGGTTTGTTCAGGGAAAGGTGATGCCCTGGGATGTGTCATGGAGGCAGCGCCCCGGGGTGCTCAGCACAGCTGAGTCCAGCACCCCCAGCCACAGCCAGGAGCATGGGGACAGGCAGGAGGCGAGAGCATCTGCTCCCGGGGAGAGGGACCTGACTGGGGACCTCACCACAAGGGATGACAAGGAACAGAGGGAGGTGATCAGTGACGCTTACAGAGACAGACCTGGCCAGCAAATGCTAGCAGAGATGAATGTCATCATCCAGCCTCGTCACCCCTGCTGACTGCCAGGCTGTCACAAACCTGTGTCACTGCAGAGAGGGCCACCCAGCTCCTGCCACTGTGGGGATGCAAAGCTGGAGGGGTCCCAGGTCCTGGGGGTGCCAGTGGAAGCTTGTGGACAGATAAAGGTGTGTGCAGGAGGACAATGGGGGACAGGCAGAAAGGGATGTAACAGGGCTGGGCTGGGTGACACCACAGCAGGCAGCACTTGGCT